GAATCCCCATGGGGTGAAAAATTTACGAAATTTGCGGGTGAAGCGAAATATAGCTAAAAAGTTCTCGTGAGTACCAAACTTCGACGTTAGCACCGTTGACGAGGGAAAGGGACGGCTGGACCCTTCTCGCGATAAAAATAAAATTCAGCACGCACCGCAGGAGGAAGGTGGGGCATGAGAAACAATAATAATAAGAAAAAAGCCATGGTGTTTACCCCCTCCTATGTGACCCTCGATGGTTGTAGTTGTACGAAAAAATACACTGAAAAGTGTAGTACTCTAGACTACATGCGCTGAAAAGTGTAGTACACGTCTGACCACGAAAAATGGGGGGACTGTCGCCATAATAAACAGGACGAAAAAACGCACACACACACACAAACAGGCTGTCCCGCACGCTTTCTTCCCCAATCACCGCTGAGACTTCCGGCACGTGCCCTTTGACTGCCGCGTTACGTCGAACGGGTAGACAGTCTTTCTGTGAAAGACCGGGGCATGTTGCATCAGCGGTTTGGTTTGGCCCGAGCAGTTATTGTTGAGAAACTTGTATTTGCAGCGTTCCTTGCCGGTCGATGTCGGTCTTGACTGACCGATTCCCAAGAAATAACCAAAGAGCACCACACGAGATAGGTGCATAACCCCGCCGGGAAGTGTCGCGCAAGAAACGAACCCTCTACTATGGCTGTCACACAAATCAGAGGTTGGCGCTTGTCTAGTCTGTCACACGCAGTCAACCTCCACACACCTTCTCTCAAACCCAGACAACAAATTCCTTTAGTCTGAGGACACAAGACGAAAAAGGCGACACGAAGGCGGGTGTATGCTCCAATAAGGTCATTGCGGGGTGTCCGCTTGGACATGTATACCACTACCGTAGGTGACATGACACCAGAACCCACACCCCCTTGGCCGATTTTCAAAGCTCGATAACTCCTCAGTAGAATGAGTTGCGGTGCTGGAAATTATCAGCGTTGGACCGTGTTGTCGAGATCCTTTGAAGCTCGGACTTCCTTCGCCAGAAAGTGACAGTTTGTGAGGAAATCGAATAGGGAGGGGATGCGCAGACCCTATCCCTACCCCTAACCCAACTTCCCCGATTGCATGCTTCATCCAATATTTTTTAGTAGCAACCTTGCGAAGGCTGCTGGAAGATCGGTCAGGGGTGTGTGGTATCTTGTGTCACATAGGGTATCCAGCATAGGCGTGTTGGGAACCGACGTTACTGTGCGGCAGACACATCGGAGTTAGTTTAGTGCCTTTCGATCCTCCTCGTTTCTCCAGCTTTTCAGAGATGTATGCAGGCATAACCTACATGTTGACGATTGATTCAAACACGGTCTGTGTGCCTACACAGGGCGCCAGCGAGGACATGGGAGATAGGCGCCGGCTGGACTTCGTCATGGAGGAGCAGAGGCCCCTTTCGGTGGCGTTTCGGGAGGGGGCAGCCACGGTGGAGAGGCTCGCGGCGTGCGTGAGGAACGCCACGGACTCAGGGCTGTTCGGGAGGGAGCCGACGGTCACCTACTGCAGGTAGGTTTCTTCTACATCTGTCGAGCAGCCCCCCCCCCCCGCCGTCTGGTTCACCCTTAAGAAACGTAGCCTGGGGCCGTCGATACCCGGCTCCGTCCCGACGTTGCGAGGCGAGTGGTGTACCAACTCCTACGGCATTCGTTCACACGAGTTTACGTCCCTCCCTTGTACATTTTTGTGCTCCAAGGTAAACGTCGGTGTCGTAGGCAGGACGGGAACCTGCGCGTGAAATCGAAACGAGTTTCTCTGACCCCCCGTAGTGGCTCCCCTCGTGCGGAGAGCGCTCGCTGTACGGTTACGTGTGAAGGAACGGCTTAGGCTACCGGTGTTGGTAAATCGTCTGTATGGCTGTGATGCCCCTTCTTTGGGTTCCGCCTCAAAGAAACGAGACTGAGACAGACAGGGAGCTTGTAGGGGGGTGGGGTGGGGGGTTTACTCATAGTCGTGCATGCCGTTGTTGACCCCGCATCCCTACAAAGCCGAGACGGGGCACGCCGGGTTCTCACCGGACCAGGCTCTCACATCGCCCAGCGCGAAGCGCCGTGATGTATTCGGCGAGTCGCATGAAGGGTGCGCTGCATCCTGCTAAGGGTGTTCGGCATCTTGTACTTACTTCCTTGTGTACGGGTGACAGCTGCGTATGACTGGTTTCATTTCCTGGTGCTTTCACTTCCAGAGGCAGTTATAATCACTGCCTCGAGGGTGCTTGATCATTTTAGCACAACGTGGTGCGATCAGCCCTTTTGCGCGGAGTCTCGACCCCGCACAACATGATATACTCGACCACCATCATGATACAGAAAAAAATAAACAAAGGCCGAAAAAAGGCGGCAACCTGGTTGTCGAGCTCACGAAGCGACCGGCGTGTCTTGCAACGTTGTTGCCAAGCGACGAAAAACCATCTCCGATGTCAATAGGGTTATTCTGGGAGGGGGGGGATATCGCGAAGAAGTACTTTCGTTCCTGTTTTCGGTACGGCTCATCCTCCTGTGTGATCATGGGAGGTCAGGGTTACCCACACACGCACACAGACTGAGCACCGAGCGCTGGATCACGGAGGGTGACAAGCTGGGGTGAAAACCGCAACGGAACCGGGACCAGACATGAGCAACAGGGCTAAGAATATCCCATCAACCGCACCTCAGTTCTACGTTCCCAGCACGCTACACAGATAAACGCAGAACACACAAACGGGCGCGCAACGTACCCTACGAAGGAGCAAAAGCTGGTGTACAAAGCGTCCGCCGTACAGAGACAAGCACGGGAAGAGAGCATATCATGCCGGCCACCCTGCTGCACACACACATCCATAAGCAGCACGCTTGTCTCCCAACTACTGCGCCCCCCCCCTGTCTTATGGCTCTTACCTTGATTTTTTTATAATTGTTCGTGTTTTTTGTCCCGCCAAAGAACGGACATCTTTTCATTCGGTTGTTACAGCGCGGTCGATGCTATTCAATTAGAAAACACGCACACACGTTAGAGCAATGCTACGGTAGGGGGGACACTTTTTAAGACATGGGTCACATGCTGTCGCCCGACAAGGTCCATGTAAATGCTCGTAACTCTCTCAATTTTGGCATTTCAAGGAAATCAATTCTGCCCAGGCAGCCGCCTGGCGTATATCTCGCGGTGTGCAAAACAGTAAGCAATTTTTCCATTGGTTGAGGCAGTACAAACCAGTCCGCCGAAACACTCCAAACAAGGTTTTCGTGTGATTGAGAGCGAAGTTTCTGATTGAGAGCGAGATTGCGCGATTCGCTGTAGCTGGACTACCGCTGAGAGGTGGAGCTTGCTGCGTGACTTGAATTGAAGGCCTAGCCCGTAGCTACAAGCCGATACCCTGGTCATCCTGTGGGCGTCTCTCGTTGTGGAGCTACAGCGGGGAGCAGAATCTACAGGAGAGCTCACCGCCCGCGATCAAATCGCCCTGAAACAGTTTGAGGCAGGAATAGCCATCTGGGGAAATCTAGCAACTTGTCTAGCTCCTAGCTGCAGCATCCGATCGCGATGACACGCATATGCTCGTGACGCTGCTGATGAGACCTTCAATTTGCGCCGCTTCTTGGAAGAGCCCGCCCCCTACTTCCCAAGAAATGGCAAGAGGCGTCTGGACCCGAAATTTCAATTTTTTTGGCTCCCGCTCTCAATCATATACTCCGCTCTCAATCAGGCGAAAACCCTGTTTCCATGTGACCGAGGGGGTACCCCCTATCGTAGCATCCCTCGTTAGTCAGCCGGTTAGCGTGGTCGATGCTCACTAAGAACAGAAAGCATAGACACGCACGTGGCCTTTTGAAGCGATGTCGTGTTTCCAACCTCAGAGACTGGCGTCTTTTCATTGGTTAGCCAATCAGCACGGTCGATGCTCGTTAAGAAAAACACACTAAAAACACACACACGCAGGGTGACGAAGGGAAGGAAGCAGTGCAACGGCCGACCTCCGTGCGAGCTGTGCAATACCCATACCGAGCCCTGGTGCAACCCCCGCGTCTACCTTGGCGAGATTCTCTACAACGCCCACGTGGGGAAGAGCGTGTACGCCATGCAGCTTCGTCGGTGGTTCAACGCCTTTGGAAGCGAGAACTTCAAGGTACAACGGAATACATAAGCTCGGTGTGATTTGAGAGTTTTTTTTTGTGTGGAGAGTGTGTACTGTACAGAGGAGGTGGTGATGGAAACAGGTCAGCAACACGTTCGATGGGAAGACAGCCAGTTGTGTATGTATCTATTTTCATCTGTGGGGTCTATTCAGAGAAGGAGGACAGCACTACTTTCATTCATTGTGAAGATAGCAGCAGTCCGTACAATATCTACTTCTTTTGCCCCTTATCATTTGTAGTACCTTGACATCCGACACCCCTCTCGGTGGGGTTTCCAAGCTCGATGCGTCGACGGCAGAGGGGTTTCCCATCGAAGGACAAAGGTTGGCCTCATGTTCGGGCGAGCAACGATGTTTCCGGCCACAAGCCTGTCTGGTACACTGCAGAGGCCGCGGTAGCAACCGGCGGGGTCTGTGGCGTATGTGTAGAGGCCTCAAAAGGTTCTCCTATCTCGACGAAGTACATCAGCCACATCATCGTTTGCTAGGGTGACATGCATAGGTACGCAAAATCAGCGATCCTTGAATGAGAATGAGGCGCGGAGTTTTGCCTCTGTGAAGTATGCTGCGTTCTTTGGTTGCTTGTGTGATGCTGTTCACTCGCTGTCGACTGTTCGAATGCAATTGGGTGCAAGCATGTGCGTTCTAGTGAATGCGTCTCTGTAGTTTTAGCCCTTAGCCAGGATGCGTTTTTTTTCATTGTTGCTATGTTGCTGCTCACTAGCTGTCGGTGTTTCGAATACAATTGGGTGCATGCACCCGTACTGCCGGTTGCGCCTCTGTAGTACGCAGGGCTATTTCGCTGTTTGTTTATGCCCTTGCTGTCGGCGTCCGAGTACCGTGCGATGCTCTACCATGCCACTACATACCATGCATCAACCGCACGTGCCTCGCGTTTCAGGTGGTGTTCACAGAAGACTTGGAGGAAGAGCCGATCAAGACTCTAGAGGAGGTGCTCGACTTCATCGGCCTTGACATGGTCGACCCACAGGGGGACAAGGTAAAATCGGAGATCGCTAAGGTTGGTACCAGCCCACCACGTGGTGCTGTCGATGGGCTGGACGTTCGTGGGAATCAGGGGGCGTGCAGACTGGAGAATAAAAACTTCGGCGGGGATCCGGGGGCGACACAGACTGGAGAAGTCGGTGCTGTGACGTTCTTTCTCCGCCGTCTCAATCACTCAACTACTGTATACCCTGCCAAAACTTTGTCCTGCCAATCCTTGCTCCGTTGGTTCGTTCGTCCCCCCCCTCCCCGCTTCCTCAGGGCTTGCGGAACCTAGAGATGTGGAGCGAAATCGTCGGCGCGAGGTTCAACACGGCGGATGGCGCCAAGAAGAAGGTTCTTGACTCACAGGTGACGACTGACCTGAGACCTGGCTGGTATGACATGACATGTGGTGTCGCAGTCGAGGCTTGTTTGCTGAGTGAAATGTTCCATTGAAGGTTCGATGATAAATTGTTTCCTTGTTCATCATTTTTGTTTGTACACATAACTCAGAATGCAAACACTCAGGTGTACCTTTTCGCCTGCGGCATCCCCACAGTAGAGGTAGGTCGTCGCCCTTGAAGCGACACCCTTTTTCACTTTTTCGTGGTAGAATCCCCATAAATGGCACCCTGCACTTATTTTCACATATACTCGACGCAAGACGTCACTATGATGTTCTCGGTGGAACCTCTAAATGTTGCGCTTCATTACGTGGGGTCGAACTTTTTTTTTTTGCCTCCTTCGCAGGTGACCCCGGAAATGCGTGAGGAGATGCGGGCGTTCTTCGCCCCCTACAACAGGGACCTCGAAGACTTGCTTGGAGTTCCGCTCCCGAGCAGCTGGCACGTCCAGCGATAGAAAAGTCCGCGATACGAAACGACCGCTGTATGGACACCACGATCATTATTTTCTCGAGACGTGACGTCAGTACCACGGGGTGACGTCATCTGTCGACCTTGCACTTTTCACTCAAGGGAAAATTTCTTTTGAACAAATCGCCCCATCAGAAAACTGCGGGCACCCTTCCTACTGTCGACAATGCCGTTCCAAGGCGTGACGTAATCTTTCGACCTTGCATTTTTCATTTTTTTTTTTTGGGAAAATTTCCTTTCAACAATTTGGCCCATCCAATAACTGGGGGGACCCTTTCTACTGTCGACAATGCCGTTGACTATCAACTTCAGTATATATACACCACGCTAGACTTCTCGTTGGTGTCGCCAATCGTTCGTGGTGAGGTCGTCTTGCTGATGGCTTGCTTACAGCAGGAGGATGTCTGTTAATGATGGGGCTCGTTTTTCGTGTTGTGCTTGCCTTGGATCGCACATGGTTCCTGATTGTAAATATGGCATTATTTTCATTTACTTTCTTCTTGGTACAATACGGCTGTGTGCTTTTTCCATTTGTCACGCACGGCTAGGCGAGATTGTTCTTGTGTTGTTTTTGTGTTGTTCGTCGCCGTTGTATCAGGTCGCTAGCTGGTGAAATTATCAGCTAGCTTAGGGTCGCTCGACCTATCTCCCTGGTTGGCGAACAAGGCGTGGTCAGCGGGTAACAACGTAAACATTTTGGATTCTCAATCTTTCGAGTTTTGGAGCTTGTGGCGTGAGGTTGGGCATTCATCTCGCTCGTGTACTTCTTGTTCTGCAGATACGATATCGGCTTTTTTGTGTGGGGATCCTTCCCATTTTTCACACCAAGTTTGTGTCTGTGTTTTTGGTCGTGGTAGCGTGGGTGACTCGCATACAAAAGAGAGAAGCTGCTGAATACTGCCATGTTCGACAGCCCCACTCTCTTGCAAATTCATACATGCACGTTGCGAAGTTCGCTCCCCTATCTTCTAGTTATTGCCGTAAACCAAACTTGGTGTAGATGAGAGCGTTGTTGGGGATTTGGGGCTGAAGTACATGGCACGACAGTATCATCGTTAACCACCTACCAGGCTAGAGGCCTCGTTGGTGTCGTTACTGGTTCGTGGCCGTGTTGTCTAAACTGGTGGCCCAGAGGAGGAGGATAGCTGTTGGTTGGGCTTGTTTTTCGTGTTGGTGTTTGTCCTCGGACCGCGCACCTTGCTTGATGAGCGGGGAGACACTTCAGCGCGTGCATAGAGGAAGGAAGCGCTTCGAAGCAGGAGGAGTATTTGGTGGTTGCGTGGAAAGGGCTGGAAAAATATCAAGTAGAAGGTGCTTCAGCCGGGAGGCGTTTTCGTGCCGATTCCGCAAACAACCTCAATGTCTCACCAATTGATAGTTCGCCGTGTTTGCTCGTTTTTCGTCTTTTCCTCGCGGCTGGGACGCGGGATGAAGTCCATCTGCTTCCTGGTATACACATGGTCTTTTTCAACGTCGAGAAAAGTTACTTTTGCAAAGATGAGGACACATCATGTGGATGCTATAATGGCATCCTGTGGTCCCACCAACCTTTGCTTTTCGCTGTTGTAATAAAAGAGAGCGATCCGCCGATTTCGCGTCGCTCCGCCCGCCGTTGATTGATACCAATATCATCGCCGAATCATCAATGGGCATGATTTCCAATAGACGCACGGACACGAAGGGGGTTCATCAAGCTAATGTTCTCATCACACGGCAAGCCCAATACACGAGGTGTCTGCGGGCAGTGAAATCGAACACCTTCTTCGTTCGATCTACATTCGTTTATCAATAGACAGCGAAATTCCCGCCCCTTTGTCACTTGATGGTGAGTGAATGGCGTAATGTGAAAAAAATCGTCTTCTGGCGAGGATAAGATAATGCGGTGAGTGGATATCCACAGCGCGGCGAAAGGTGCGTGTTCTGGGGAAATGACTGTATTCCAGCAATACGCACTCACACGGCAAGGACCTAACCGCACCTAGGACTGGGCTGGGAACGCGTGTCCTTTGCTCTGGGACTTGATGAGTTAGTAGAGTGTTAAGCGCAACACGTTCGGTCAGAAGAGGAATGATTTGCTGCATGAATTGGGGAGTCATTAAATCATAGACTAGTCTATATATTTGGTTGTATCTCATGAGACCTGTTCGTGTGTGCAAGGGCGTGTTTAGTACAGTACGATACTGCCAGTATTTTCAGTATTGAAGTACCTTTGGCCATAATATACTATACTGCACGTTTTAGTACAGCTTTCGATACTGGAATAAAAATACTGCACGCTTTAGTGCAGCTTTCGATACTGGAATATACTGTACTGGCAGGACGGCGCTCGGTACTGTACTGTACTGCACGCTTTAGTACAGCTTTCAATACTGGAATAAAAATACTGCACGCTTTAGTACAGCTCTCGGTACTGGAATATACTGTACTGGCAGTACGGCGCTCGGTACTGTACTGTACTGCACGCTCTAGTACAGCTTTCGATACTGGAATATCCAGTACTACCCAGCACGGGCAGTACCCACTGCTGTACGGGCCGATCTACCCGGTATCTAACCGAAATCCACCGAAGGGCGTTTTGGTGACGTCATCTTTTGGCAGAAATGC